AATAGTACACATATTAATGTGATCATCATATGATAAATACATAACCCATCCTGATAATGTTGACGTGATTTCAAATGTAAAATGTGAAGATAATAAAACGGCGATCGATCTCAGAAATCCGGTAAATTAACGAATCAGAAAGAGGACAATTTAAGCACAGACACGTGGAAACACCGGAGGTGGGATCAGGTGCCTGGGAGGAGTAAGCGTCCCCTGCCGAGTGACCACATCCGCCGTGAGCTCTCTGTTGATCGGGTGTACGAAATACTCCGTTCTCAAAAAAAAAAAATGCCAATGATAATTATTTGAATGTTTGTTATTGTTTTCTTTACCCCTGCATTGCCGTCTATGTGATAATCTGTTTGTGTTATTTTTCAAAGATTAAGCTTAAATTTTTGAAAGTATTTAAAATGATTTTATAATACTTTGTTGCTGTATGGACTTAGGATTTCTGTGATTACTCAGTATTAAATAAGGGGAGAGAGGATGAAAAGGGTGCTATTTGGAAGAGAGAGAGGAGGGGAGGTAAAGGCATCCCCGTGTATACCATCTGAACTAAGTATCTGAACTAAGTTCATAAAATAAATTGAGTGAGAAAATTCCCTAGGTCATGTAGGTATGAGTCCAAGACAATCACCTCTTTTGTAAAGACCACACAAATTTAACAACCCTGTGCAAAGTCGAGACATGCAACGCAGATGAAATCATTCAAATACACTAATGTGTGTTTGATAGAATGATAAGCTGAACCAATCATTGATCGAGTCTAGGATCCTTGTGAAAATATAAAAAATGTGAGATCCGCTTTCGCTAGGTATAGCCACATCTTATTTATATTAAATAAATTTTTAAATATTCAGTTGTGGTTTTGTGAAGTTTAGTACCTTGCTAAGAACACACTGTATGTAATTATTGACGAATTGACAGAGCTATCTGCTACATCTGAAAATTTCATCCCCGGGAGGCTTGCGACATTTTGAACATTATGAATTATACGGTGTGTGAACCATAAAGTCGCCTCCTCACTGTTAGGGCTTTTAGTAAGCTTGTCAATGTATGGTACTGCATGTATACATGTATTTATAATATTAGCACCTTTCGTTTTTTCTGTTTTCAGCATATGCGATTTTTCTCTGTGGGTGTGAATGTCCCTATTTTGTTCAAGGAATGGAACCTCAACACCAAAACAGGTAGGTGACAATTGGCGCCAAATTTATCAAGTTACGAATGTCTCACTCTCCGGTAGAGAAGAGATAGAAAGAGCGATCATCTCAAAAAGTCGTTAAAGAGGCATACATGTATTTCAGAAGGGAGTGAATTGTAAAAGTTGAGGTTAAGTTCGCTGCTACAGAAAAGTACTTTTGTATATTTATAACTTACATTTATCAATAAACTGTTCTTAAGCTTCAAATAACCTTTCTTTCTCTCTGTATTGACAGGCCTTTTTCTGACCTGTATCGGGAGTATTCTACTGGGTATATTGTACCAGATCGTGAAATGTCTCCGGCAGTACGCTCACAGACGGTACCGCGTCAAAGACAGGTAGGAGGAAAAAACATTACTTATGATCAGACGCAGGATGTAAAACAAGTAATGTTTCTTATTGTGTATGAGAGATTTTAAAGCAGGCAAAGACTCCAATGACACAACGGTCGATGACTAAAAGATGAATAGTGACCCTTATCTAATTACCTTTGGACAATATCAATTTCAAAGTTGCATCTATACGTCGAATTCTTTTTTTCTACAAGAATGTCATGACAGGGGTTATAATATTGCTCCTATGGTGGCTGTTGTAGACATGTTTTTGTAGTATTTTGATGAAGACATATATATTATACAAGTAAAGAGACTTCAGTAGACGTTCATTACTTTGTTGAAGGTGTACATTTTGAAAGTGCTGGGTCCATGGTTTACAAACGTTGTATCTTAAATGCGTTGTATTTTGTTGTAGGGGTACCATTAAGAGCCGGGAGCATGGTTTACAGACAATACTGTATTGTATACAGATGATCAATAGTTATATACTCATGTTAATTATTATGACATTTAACGTCTGGGCTTTTATATGCACCATTGCTGGTCTGGGCCTGGGCTATTTCCTGTGTGGATGGGCTTATCCAATAATAGAAGAAAAAATAGGGTCATGTTCAGTCGAGTGCAACAATGACAAACCCCATCGCCATGGTAACGAGGACACAGAGCAGGAACTGAAGTTGTTACCGAGTCCGTCCGCTGCACAGTGCGAGGATTGTTCATTGTGACGTCATTACAAACAGTGCGAGGATTGTCATTGTGACGTCATCACAAACAGAAACTAAGAAAGGGAGATTGCAAATATTTATTTTTACATTATTACATGTGTATCGTAACATATCAAGATCTGAATTTTCTAATTTATTGTATGGTGCTTAAGTGTTTCAGAAGGTAGCATAACCTTTCTACTTTTGTTTATATTTTGTTTGGTTATTAGTTTACATTTTTGACATAAATATAAAGTTTTGTACTATGTTATTTTAAATTCTTTTGTGTAGATTTCATAGGCGTAGGAGGCGGGGAAGGGGGAGGGGACTTGAGGCTTAGTCCCAAATATTTTTGTCCGAAGCCTATGGATATGCTTGTTACTTTGTGAATTGTGGTAAGGGAGAGTACATGAGTTCGCTATTTCTTAATTAAAAAAGAAGCATCTCAGGTAGGTTTTGGTTAGCATATGATTCACAATTACGTTTTTTATCAATTAAAAATCAAACCAGGTTTGTCAGAATTTTTCTTTGATTCATGACATTAGGTTATTCAACAAAACGTTGAACTGATTATGAGAGAATTAAAACAAATTACAAATTCGGTTATTAACATATAATTAACTCTCCCGACAATTTATTTACACAAACAATCAATTACAACAGTCCTATCAGTAATTATGATTGAGTAAGTCGGTGTACTCTTTTAGATAAACATTTCTATAATTAGCAACTCCTAATTAAAATCAAGAATGTACTAGGTTTTATTTTTCCGTACTTTATACAAATACTGGGGCATCAACGGTTGACAAGCTTAACTGAATTAACTGGTAAGTTTAATTTTAATTGTTAAAAGAATATTGGAAAATTAATTGAAGTTTGAAATTTGAATGAATTTATGTTGTGCACTGGGACCGTTGTTAAAGTTATCTATGATGATAACAAAAAATCAAGCAAATATGTTACTTCCCTCCCTGATAATTGTTTATCAAAAAGCTTGTAGACTGGCACAATTTACATTTTAAACCTCTAAAAGTAAAAGTACACCAATGAAATTTAACACTGGTATCCAACATTATTCAACATTAGCTTCAAAATAAATGACTTTTTTTCCTATAGTAAAATGAAATGTTTTCGGAAGCTTTGACATAAATGCAGAACTGCAGCATTATGGCTTTATAATTTTGTCTTGGACAGATCCCGTAATGCAAAAAAGGTGCAATTTACTGGCGCAAGATCTTTTGTGCACTGTTGGGGAGAATTTCTCAACTTTCTAACAATGGTCAATCATCTACCCTTCGCTTCCTAATTCTAGATACATTATTTAACAAATCTGTATCATTTATCCACCTCCCAGCCCTTGTCTCTACAAGTGATAAACTCGCTTGACTTGAATTTTCTGCAGCCCACTAATCAAGTTAGTTTATCTCCATGTAGAAAATACTATAACGAATTGGAAAGTAATTATAATATACAGATTGATTAAAGAATATGTCCAGAAATCGGAGTGGAATGTCATGTTCTAAAACATGACAGAAAGGTATTTGATTGACCGATGCTCGAAAGTGGAGAAATTCTCCCCAAAGGTGCGCAAAAAATCTTTCGCCGTAAATATTGCACCTTTCTTGCATTAAGGGATCTGAGGCGTTATGGTCTAAGACTAATATATTGTCATCTTCCTTAAGCAAGGGTGACGATCCGCTCCTTACCTCTTTTCTCAAAAGAGGAGAGGATGAATATATATATGAAACCATACCGCCACAGTTCTGCAGCTAGCGTTGACATGGACAGGTGATGGATATCAAACAACCTCCAAAATATAACTTGCCCGTAGCACAGATCTAAAAGATTAAAATCTTTTGATATTATGAAAGCAATTTATCCATATTTATTAATAATTTGATTTTAGTTGTAACACGTCATTTACCGCCAAAAACATATTACTCCGCTTGACGTTACTTTTAACATATGCTAAATTTAAAGCCTTTTTCCGGAAGGAAAATTGTCTCATTGTCTACACTGAAAGTAATTTATAAGGAATGAAGCTTATTTCAACTTATGTTATATGCGATATAACACAACTTGGGTCAGTTTACGCTTTTTTTATATTGCACGTTTTTGAAAGTTATGTTTCTGTTAAGTCATAAAATTTGACCGAAAAGAATTATAGAATATTAAAATTTCTTCACCTTCACCTTTGAATATTTTGTAAAAAAAAAAAAAAAAAAAAAAAAATACTCCTAGTGGTTATATAATTTTAACTTGTTTCTTTTAGTTTTCATGAAGGTTTGAAGACGCATAATTGATTATATTATATATCGTACATTTATGAGTTATTACCCTTTTAGCTAAAATATACTACATGCAAAATACCACATAAAATGAAATTTGGATCGGTATACCAAAATTGATCGTTGTAGACTGGCAATTTCAGGTAAGTCAGAATGAAAACACTATAAAGAGTTTTTACCCGAGTTACTTTAAATACTTAGGTGACCTAAATATTGCTATCGTTCTTGTACGTCGTCGTGCGTCACATGCGTTAACATTTGAAGATTTTCAGCTTCTTCCCTGAAACCACTGAACCAATATTTCAACCAATTTTGGCATATAGCATCTATGGATGAAGGGGAACAAAAATTGTGGCCCTGCCCCTTGGGCCTTATAATGGTGGGACTAAAACCATCAAAATGAATGCAATCGTCAAAAATCCTCTCCTTTAGTCCTGGATATCATGTAGTCAAACTGTTGGCATGATTGTAATCAACACTGAGTCCTCTTCTGAAATTGTGAAATTCAGAGGTTCTGGCATGCGCGGATCTAGAGGAGGGGTGGGGGGGGGGGGGTTCAGGACCCCCCCCCCCTGGAATTTGCAATTATTTGAAATTATTAAATTCATATACTAAAGCAAGAAAAAAAGTTACCTTGGACCCTCGTCGGAAAACGCAGCCCCCCCCCCCCCGGTAAACGCGAATTTGTGTTAAATTGATGAAAAGTCAAAGGTTTGAAGCTTTAGATGTCATCGACTACCCCCACCCCCACCCCCCACCACGAAATAGGTTTTTTGAAGTTTGTTGATAAATATTCACAATTTTCGTAAAAATGCTGGATCGGTACTTGTCATCAAATTACAGAATTTTATTTTATTTGGATGTACATCGTATTTCTGCAACAACAAAATCTTTTCGGATACTACAAAATGCATTACATTCCAGTAAAAATGAAACCCGTCTCCTATCTGATTATTATTACATAAATTGCACACTCTTTCATTTCTTTCAACATTATTTCATCTACCCATCAGGCATCTCTATTGGAAGACAATGGCTACTTGTTCTGAATTTCGAAAAGATATTTCGAAATGGTCCGTGTAACACTTAACAATTCAAATTTCTAAAATTATTTTGAGTTTTAGAATGTTAACATATTAGTTCAAATTTCTAACTTTCAAAAACTCAAACTGATTTGGTATATTGAATTTTAATATTTTAGTTCGCCCGTTATGCAAATTATCCCATATTTCCCACTATTGTTGATGCCCTGACATACCCTCCTAACTAGACAGTGATTCCTTAAATAAAGATGTAAATGAATAATTCTACAGATCTTATTCCCATTTCCACGTATCAGTTTTCCCCAGAAAGATATCATTCTTGTATAAATGGGCACATACATCGGGTAACGTCCAGTTTCCCCGTATACCATAAAACTCGGTTATTTTCATGGTATGTTTTTGGACACTTTTAAAAGCCCTACAAACCCGCGACCTACGTTAAATGTAGACGTTCAATAATATCAATATTTTCAAATCCCCATATTTCACAGCCATATAACAAAACAGAAACAACAACTTCATCAAACAGATCTAGCTGACAGTCCAGAGATAGATAATATAAACGAATTTATCTTATAATAAATGCCGTACATTGCCTTTTGTGCTTGATTACATAGTTGTGTTTTTGGTATTGGAAAATGACCCCGATCTTGAGAATAGAATACCTAAGTAATTAAAATCTTTTACAGTTTCTAAAACATCGTCATAATTATGTTGTATTTAAATATGTGTTTGGGTGATGGTCCTTTTTTTAAAAAAAATGACAATTTTTGTTTTCTTAACATTAACATGGAGTTTCCATGTTTTGCAATGTAAAGAAAATTCACTTAATGCATGTTGTAAATCATTTGCGGTTTCAGACAAAATAGCCGTATCAGCATAAAATAATATAAACAGTATAAAACAATAATATAAAATTTGATAATGGTAAGATCATCTTCAATCTCTTTAGAAAAATTCTCTAAACCGTTAACATTCCTTTCTGTAAGATAATTTTCTAAGTCATTGATATATAATGAAAATAAAAAAGGTGAAAGATTTTCACCTTGTCTAACCCCGACATTGCAGTCGAAAAATTCAGAAGACGCACCATTCACATTAATTCTTGATTTTATGCCTACATACATATTTCTAATATAGTTGAAACACTTCCCGTTAACAGCATTTGAAAATAATTTGTACCAAAGACCACTTCTCCATACAATATCAAAAACCTGTTTAAAATCGATGAACGCACAGTATAACCTCTTTTTTTTTGGCAGGGTTAGGGTTAGGGTTAGGGTTTTATAAGTGCTTGCGACAGAAAATGCAAAATCAATATATTATCTAAAGTAGAGTACCCCTTTCTGAAACCTGTTTGACTCTCATTAACCAGACTGACATTTTCTGCATAGATTTCTAATCGTTTTTTTCAAAATACTTGTAAAAAGTTTCCCAAGGCAGCTCAATAATAACAGAAATATCAGGCTAGTAGACAAATCAGTGTGGAAATAAAGCCTGATAATTTGCATTAAGATTTAATTGATCAAATGTTAGATGGTATTTGCTGACAATTTAAGTTTTTTGCATGTATCGACCATGAAACTTGCGAAATGACTGTAAACGAGATCGTTGACATCTTTGTTTTATAAACTTGTTTGACAATAATAGCTCGTTTTAGAAATTGTAAGAACATTATCTTGTGTATCGAATGTAATGGCATACATAAACTCCATATGCAAGTGATGCTAGTATTTAGCTTATCAGTTTAGGAAAGTTGACGATTAAAAGTTAAATTCAACACGTTTATCATTGAGTTTTGTTGTTAGGGTACTATTGATGTCTTTTTCTTGTAAAATATCAAAAAATTAAAACAGCTGTATCAGACCCCATGGAATTGATCTCTTATTCCTAATTCACAGATACATATACATGTATATTGAAATTAACGCAGGAACGAAATTGATTATTGTTAATACTAATAGATAAATCGTCAAAGATGCATTTAAATGTTGAATTGACGGCCGCTGAAATGAGGGAGCCGAGGCATCAATATACTGCCTTGTAAATGGCATCCCTAAAAATGCAAAGGGAACCCTGGGAACAGATGTTCACCTTTCGTTTCAATTTCCTCATTAGAAAGGAAACTATGGATATAAGTTGGATTTCTTCCTGCAGAATTAATTGTGTTCATGTTTCCC